CAAACTAATCAATTTATAAAAATTTTGGTTTCGATTTCAATTCTTAAAATAAAAAGAGAAAATTTTTTATTATTTAAAATCAAATTTTGCCCACCCCTATGTGTAAGGGTCTTAGTAGGTAGCACAGCTTTGCTTCTTCTTTCTTTTTTTTTTTTTTTTTTTTGGAAAAAGGCAAGTTTTCCATTAGACGTTAGATGACATGTACAATTTCCTCCCAGGTATACCCGGGGAATTACATCTTTCAGATCTTTAATCTCAAAAAATTAGCTATTTTATTATATACATCCTTTTCAACCAAAAACTTTCTAAGAGTTACTCTCCTATTTCTTTCCTGCCAAATCATATATATAGTGGCAGCTACCGCAGCCTTCAACTTGTTTGACTGCGTCGATCGGCCTTTACATGCCTTCTTTAACCATTGCCATTCAACACTCCACCTTTTTGGTTGTCTGTGAATATTCAAGAAGTCCAAGACTAACCTCCACACTTCTTTAGCAAAACTACAATAAAAAAACAAGTGCTCACAAGTTTCATCATATCTACCACACAAGCAGCACCCTTTCTCAATTCTCATACCTCTACTTGTTAGTAACTCTCTAGTTTTTAGTCTACCCCGCAGTACCAACCAAAAGATGAATCTATGTCGCGGGAAAATGCACCCTGCCCAAACAATATGATGCCATTCTACCTTAGGGCGTTTCACTCTTAGGAACCCATAGCAACCTGAAATAGTAAACAAACCATTTTTTGCAGGTTTCCATACAGCCTTGTCCACTTGTTGAGATAGTTTTTGACATCTAATAATCTGGACAAGCATGGGATGTCTTCTCACAAAACTATCTGGAATGGTCCAATCTAAACCATCCCACCACTCACTAACTGTAAGGTCATGGCCCCAAACAGCAATCTCATCCTTTGAGATCAACTCACAGAACCTTAACTCACCTGCCCACCAATCATAGAATAGTGAAACTTGTCTTCCATCTCCCACTTGCATCCAAATGATATTTTTCAGTAGAGGACGAAGTTTTAAAACTTGCCTCCATGTCCAAGCACAATCCGTTGGGATTTTAACCTTCCAAAAATGTTCACCCCTCAACAGTACCACCTGTGCCCACTTAACCCATAGCGACTCTTGATGTTGACATATATTCCAAACCAATTTGCCTAATGCTGCCTTATTCCAATGCAGCAATTGCTTCACCCCTAGTCCCCCTTCTTTCCTTGGCACACATACATCATCCCATGCTACAAGAGACATTGCATTATAATTCCATTTACCACACCAAATGAAATTTCTACAAGCAACATCAATTAGCTTTAACACTTTCTTAGGAATCAATAAAGCACCACTCCAAAAAACTTGAATGTGGAATAAAACAGAGTTAACTAGTTGAACTCTACCTGCATAGGAAAGGAATTTTGTTGCCCAGGATCCAATTCTCTGATGAATTTTATCGATAATAGGTTGACATGCTCCAGGAGACAGCTTTTTTGAAATCAATGGCAACCCCAAATATCTAACTGGAAGCTGTCCCTCAGCAAAACCCAGCTTCTGAATTAAAGCAACTTTCTGCCCTTCTCTAACACCACTAAAGAAAACTTGACTCTTCATTCTATTCACTTCCAACCCAGAGACTCGGGCAAACTCCTCAAACTTTTGCATCATCAAACCAGTGGACTCCTCATCAGCCTTACAAAAAAGCATAATATCATCTGCAAAGATCAAGTGCGTAAGATGCATCACTCGACACTTACTATGATATTTAAACTTCTCCTGCATATCTAACTCCTCAATTTCCTTGTGAGATATTCCATCACTAGCACAAATAGATAAGGCGAGATTGGATCACCTTGTCGAAGCCTTCGTTGCCCCTGAAAATAACCCTTTGGATGTCCGTTTATCAATACAGAAAATCTGGTAGTAGAAACACAAAGCATAAGCCAGTTAATAAATCTATCAGGGAAGTTCAGCCCTCTTAACATTGCATTAACAAAACCCCAATCCACTAAATCATATGCTTTTTGTAGATCAATTTTCATTAAGCATCTAGCTGGCCCCCTACTTCTATGATAGTTCCTTACCAGATCTTGGCAAATCAATAAATTTGTCATTATAGATCTTCCCTTCACAAATGCAGTTTGATTACTGCTAACCAGCATGCTCAGCACTTCATTAATCCTCTGGGTTAAGAGCTTTGATATCACCTTGTAGATGACATTACAACAAGCTATTGGCCTATAATCACTGACACCATTTGGGCAACTCACCTTCGGAACAATAGTAATATTGGTGGCATTAATTTGCTTGAGGATTTTCCCACTGTCAAAGAAATCCAACACAGCAGCCGTGACATCATTTTTAATTATTGACCAGGCTGCTCTATAGAACCCTGAAGTGAATCCATCAGGCCCTGGTGACTTGTTAGAAGGAATTGAAAATAGGGTAGTCTCCACTTCCTTAGCAGTAAATGGCTTGCATAACTCTTCTGACTCTTCAGTAGTTAACACTCTGCCCCTGTGGATAACATTCATATCAATTGCTTGAACACCTTCTTTTGCCTTTCCAAACAAGTTTTGATAGAACATTAAAAACTCTTGTTCTATAAGGTTAGGCTGAGTCACTCTAACTCCTTCACTGTTCAGGATGGAGTTAATAACACTTCTATGATGCCTCTCCTTTACTTTGGCATGAAAATAAGCAAAATTAGAGTCCATCTCCTTTAGCCAAGTTACTTTAGCTCGTTGGGCAATTACGGACATATTTGCTCTCTCAAGCTTAGTTAATTCACGTTGAAGTTCCTTTTCTTTTGCAGCCAAAGTCTCATCAAATGAAGCATTCTGCATGGAAGCTTGGACATTTTGTAGGTCTACTGCCATATCTTTTATTCTTCCCCCCAAGTTTCCATATCTATTTTTATGCAGCTGTTTCATCTTCTGTTTTACCAATTTCAATTTCTGCACTACAACAAACATAGGGCATCCTTGAATATCCACACTCCAAGCTTCCCTAACCAGATCAAGGAAGTTTTCGTCCTTAGCCCAAGCATTGCAGAATCTAAATGGCCTTGGTTTCTCGTTCATCAATACATCCACAGTCACTAAAGAGGGTGAGTGATTTGAGGATTGTGGATTTAGAAAGACAACAGAAGTATTTGGAAATGTACTAACCCATGTTGAATTAGCCATTACCCTGTCCAGCTTGCACCACAGCCTGTCATTTTCCCCTTGCTTATTACTCCAAGTGAAGAACGCACCTGAAAATTGCAAATCAAAAACCTCCATTCTACTGACAAAATCCTTGAGCTCAAAGGTATCTCCCCAGACAACTCCACTATGCTTCACCCTTTCACCATAATTTAGAGTTGTATTAAAATCTCCAGAAATTATCCATGGCACATTTTCATCGTCTAGAGCTCTAACTTGATCCCATAATGCTACTCTACCATCAAAGGTATTAAAAGCATAGACAATTGTGCACAAAAATTTAACATCCCCAACTGCAGAGCATACTTCAACATGTAGCAATTGGTCTGTTTGTATTACTTCAGTCACCCTCAAATCTATTTTATTCCATAATATCCAAATTCTACCATTAGGATGAGAGTTATAATTATTCAACCATCCCCATTGCCTACCAAAAGTTTGCACAACTCAACTATTATTCTCTTGTTTCACTCTAGTTTCTAATAAAGCCATAAACTGGACTTTATTTGAACATATAAACTTCTTAACATCTACTTGTCTTATAGGGTCATTCAAACCCCTCACATTCCATGAAGAAAGATATATCATGAGAGAGATTAACTTACAGAAGATTCTCCCCCTGCTGCCTTTTGCATCATCTCTTTATCCCCTGTGCCAATACTAGTCTCACTCTGCAGATTCACTGACTTCATAGCTCCCACTTCCAGTTGCACTGGGCTTTGCTCATTGCTTTCCACTATCAGCTTTCCAGAAGGACGTGAAAGTGTACTCTGCTTCATATTTGCTAAATTAGTAGCATTTTGCACTTCACCACCACATAATTCATCATTCCCCTCAGAAGATTTCATGCCAACTATCTGATTGACCATCTGCTCCTTGACAGGTTTTTTTGGAACCCACACCTTTTTTTTCCTTTGCAGTACAGTTTCTCTCTTCATGCCCCAGGTTTCTACATTTACCACATCTGACAGGCTCCCATTCATAGACCATAGGCTACTGGAACACACCCTTGGGACCAATAATAGGAACTACACGGGGCAGAGTGTCCTTGATTTCCATCTCCACTAGCATACGAGCATAAGCCACTCTTTGCCTTTTAGCTGTTAATGCATCAGTTGCAATAGGAACTCCCACATAGCTTGCTAGTTTTCCTAAGCTCTCAGGGTTCCAAAGACTCAAATGGAGTTCAGGAAATTGGATCCAGACAGGAATCTTACTGATATCCAAATTGTCGGGATCAAAATCTGGAGTCCACTGTTTCAAAATCAAAGGATGCCCATTAAATGTCCATCGCCTCTCTAGCACCGCCTGCTTTGCATCTCTATTACCAAAATCAAACAAGAAAATTCCATTTCGCAGGGTAAACACCTTAGGCACATGGAATTCCCTCCACCTGTTGTTCACAAAATTAACAACATCCTTAAAATCAGGCTTAGATCCCAGAACATACCCAACAAGAGCATTCTCCCAAATCTTTGACCCTTTAACCCACTCATCCTCAGTAATAACCACAGCACCAGTTGGATCTTGAGGCTTTATGTATTACAAATCCCATCCTTTACTTATATCCTTATTCCCTTCCACAACCGAAGCCCAACTACGCCCTGGCTTCTGCTTTAGAGTTGGTTGAAAATCCCCTTTCTCCTTCTCAATCAGGTCACTCCACCGAGCACTAGGAGACATTGCCGTGCCGGATGTAGAACCAGCATCCTTTTCACCGGACGGTTGCTTCATCTGGATGACAGAAGGTTGAGTCTCCGAGCGCACTCCCTTCTTCCCCTTCGCTACTTTCCCTTCCACAGGGCCGGCCTCGCTCTTCCCCTTATCTGCTCTTTCATCCCTAAGACCAGCATCGAATCTGCTATTCCTCTGGCCTTGCGTCGAGACTGCTAGATCTAGCAAAATTTCTTCAGCGTCCCCTTCTTTCTCCCCTAGATATGGGCTCAACCTCCCTGATTCCTCATTTTCGAGACCCATCTGGTTTGGATCGCGAGCAACAAGCTTCACGACCTCAGTTTGCTCTTTGTTGGTTTCCTCAACTGAGATGCTATTTTGCTCCCCCTTTCCATCTTTTAGATCTATCGTTTTTGTTGCAACACCACCCTTAGGCGGCGGATCTTTCTTTCTCGGCTGGCCTATGCCACCCATCTCCGGCGTTTCCAGCTACATCAGTGGCTTATCTTTTTTCCATGTTGTTATTGAAAACAACCTTAAGCTCAAGGATATTTTTCTCTTGCACTTTCCTCATCCACTTTTTGTTTGGTATCGTCAGCCAAGCTTACATTCTTCATCCCAAACCAAGTTGTTTAAATTATAAAAAAAAAAAAGATAGAGGTTTACACATCATCTGGATATGTGCAGAAGGAAGAATCATCATCTACATATGGCTTTTTGCATTAATGAGCATCCTAGCTGTTCGAGTAGTGATTGTGAAACTTGCTTTATATCTTCACATACAAGTCTTTGTTTTCCCTGATTCTTTCCTCATTTGAAAATTGAATTGACTATAATAAATCATTTTAATAGAATAACATAGCACTTAATTATTTGAACTGCATACTAGCTCAACCAATGTGAGTTGGTCCTAAGGTCATCCTCACAATACTTTTAAAGATTTTCTTGCATCTATTAGCACTTATAAAGATCCTTTGAATTGATAACATCTTAAGAATGTTTGTGATTGTATTACTTGATAACTCGTTAAGGGGGGTTATTGGTCTAAGGCATTTGAAACTTTCTGTTGTTTCAGTTGTCACTATATTGAGATGGAAGAGGTTTGCATTGGTTGTAGCAATGTGCATACTGGCTGTTGGAGCGGTGATTTTGCAACTTGCTTTCTATCTTAACATACAGGTCTTTATTTTCCCTTATTCTTTCCTCACTTGAAAATATAATTGACTATAATCTATCATTTTAATAGAATAACTAACAGATTTTGTCCTAGATACTGCATTCTATTAACATTTTATAATGTATCCCTCCTAATAATGTAAGCAATTCGAACAGCTCGCTCCGGTCAATGCTATGAACCCTGAGCCTTACAAAATGTCTTTCTTCTTCTCTCAATTAATATATACAAATAATTTCAATCTGTTCAAAAAAAAAAAATTAATGTTACCAATTCCTTCGGAGGTCATCCATGACTGCATCACTTATACTGCTTAACTCTTGACATATTTCTTGACATATTTCTTTATGGAAATTTTTCATGGCTGGTTTTGCCAACTACATTGAGCTGCAGCCAGAGGTGATTTATACATGCCATTAAGAAATTGCAGAGGCTTATTCTTTCTTTCCACAGTTAGGATAGTTAAAAGCATGTTTGCA